CCCTACAACAGACAAAAAAAAAAAAAACAAATATCTAAAACTGAAAATCCCTTTCAAAAAAAATTTTATACTTTAACCTTTTCGGCTTTCCCACGGGCAATTTTTTTTTTTTTTTTTTTTTTTTTTGCCTGCTATTTTTTTTCTTTATAAAATCAATATCGGCAAGAAAAAAAAAAAAAAAAAAAACTTGCCACTTGCCTTTTAATCGCACTACACTAAAGAAGGCTTGCAAATGAATAAAGTCAAGCAGTTTTTTTTTTTTTTAACATAGTATATTCCTCAATATTACCCATTCCATAAAACAATAGGAAATAATATACTGCCTATACTTTTCTGTCTTCGTACAAACAAATCTTACCAAGAACAAGTATATATCATCCTGAACAAACTGTTTTTTATTTTATTTTATTTTAAATATTGAACAACAACTTTAAAAACTTTAAAAACCGAAACAATTTACAAACAAAAACGCCTTTTTTAATCATATATATATATACTGTATATATATTCGCTTTCTGTAATAAGTAGGGAAGCATAAATTAAAAGAGTTGTAAAGTAACTATTCATATACTTTCTCTCTTTTAATTTAATATATTCTTGATATATATTAGACTTTCAAGACGCATAGTTTAAAAAAAAAGTTTAAATAGAGCTGCTTCCCCACAAACCTGCCAAATTCACTCCTAACAAAGGATTCAACAAAAAAAAAAAAAAAGGATTTTCATCTTTTTTTTTCCTCCTTAAATAAAAATTTCTTATTTATATATTATAAATACTTTATTAAAAAAACGATAAATTCTCCTTATCGTTTTTTCTCTTCTTTTCTTTTTTTTTATAATTTCTTTCTGTATATTTTTTTTTTTTAACGACACAACTTAAAGAATCATGACTGATTATCTTAAGGCAAAGTTTGTAGAATGGAGTAACAGCGCAAAGATAAACAAGTACTTGCCAACTCCTCCTTCATCGCCTGATCTTAGTCCTACGGTTTCAATGTCCTCTTTCAATAATGTTTTATCAAAACAAAATCATCGTTCAGAACTTGGTCAAGAAACGCCAAGGTCCGCTTCCCCAAGTTCTGATCCAAGCAGTGCTTTTGACAATGTTACCCAAACTCCTGTTACTGGTCGTCTCTCTGTTACCATAGTTGAAGGTCGAAAATTAAACGTTAGTAACTTTCAAGCTCGCCCATATTGTGTCGTAGAATTCGATCGTAATGAATTTGTTACTCGTGAAGCTATTCGCGATTGTGATGTTCCTGCTTCTCGAAATGGAAAAATCGAATTCTTGGATCTCGTTCGTGCTGCTACTAGTCCTGTCTGGAAGCAAAAAGCTGTCTTGTATGTTTCTTCTTCTTCTTTCTTGTTTGTTGTTGTTGTTTATCGTTCTTAACTATTATAATATAATAGCTATTATAATATTATAATATAATATATATAATATATATATAATATTATAATAATAATAATAAAAGATTATATTATGATAGTATGATAATATGATATCATAGTATGATATGATAATAGATATGATAAACAATAATCAATTCACTCATCCTTTATTCACTCACTCATTCTCTTTGTTTATTTAGTGACGTTGCACGTTTAGATGGCGAAGTTCACGTGTTGGTATATGAACGTGTCCCTGATCATACCAAACCTGAAGTCTTTTTGGGTATGTTGAAAATTCAACCTCCCAAAAGTTCTAATGCCTTAGTTGATGGTTGGTTCAAGTATGTATTATTATTATTATTTTATTATTATATATTTTTACTTGACAAATATTTTTATTAAATATTTTTATTAATTATTATATCTTATATTCTTTTAGGTTGTTACCACGCGGAAAGGAAGTAGTAACTGGTGAATTACACGTCCAAATTGCTTACGAAAAAGTTGAAATTGAGGTATGTTAACTTTATATCATTTATTATCTATTATATAATTATTTAATTTATTATTTATTTGTTTATTTATCCATTTATTTATTTATTTATTTATTTATCCATTTATTTATCTATTTATTTATTTAGAAATCGCATCTAAAACCTTCATCGTTTGAAATTCTTAAACTAATTGGTAAAGGAAACTTTGGTAAAGTTTTCCAAGTTCGCAAAAAGGATACAAATCGTATCTACGCCATGAAGGTTCTTCATAAGCAAGATTTAATTGAACGTCGTGAAGTTGAACATACTTTAGCTGAAAAAAATATTTTAATTCAAGCTGAAGCTTGCCCATTCTTAGTGGGTCTTAAATTCTCTTTTCAAACTCGTACTCACCTTTATTTGGTAACCGACTTCATGAATGGTGGTGAACTATTTTGGCATTTACAAAATGAAATTAGACTTTCTGAAGAGAGAGCTAAATTTTATGCTGCCGAAATAGTTTTGGCTTTGGAACATTTACATAAATATAATATTGTATACAGGTAATTTATCTTTTCTCGTTCTTTTTTACGAAAATTAATTATTTAAATTCTTATACTAAAATTCAATTCTTTAAATTTTTTTAGGGATCTCAAACCTGAAAATATCTTGCTTGATGCTACTGGACATATAGCACTTTGTGATTTTGGTCTATGTAAGGAAAACCTTGCTGCTGGACAAACGACTAATACTTTCTGTGGTACTTCGGAATACCTTGCTCCCGAAGTTTTGGCTGAATGTGGCTATGGTAAATCTGTCGATTGGTGGAGTTTAGGAATATTGTTCTATGAAATGATTGCCGGTTTCAGTCCATTTTATACAAACGATACTCAATTAATGTACCGAAAAATTCTGTTTGGAAAATTAAAATTCCCAAAGGGCTTTTTCAGTGAAGATGCTAAGAGTTTAATAAAAGGAGTACGTATTTTTTTTATCTTGCTATTTGTAATAGCTTTAATCAACTTTTTACTTCAGTACTTATTTATTTATTATTATTTTTTAATAGCTTTTGGCTCGAAATCCTCATAATAGGCTCGGCTCACATAACGATGCCGAAGAAATTAAAAATCATCCTTTCTTCGCTAATGTTGATTGGGATGCTTTGTATCGTAAACAAGTTTCTCCCCCATACAAACCAAATGTTTCCTCTGAAGACGATACTTCATGCTTTGATCCTTCTTTTACTGAAGAAGAAACTAGTATTGAAAATTGGCCTTCCATTTCAAAAAATTTAAGTCTCAATGGGACTAATGTATCGATAAATAGTGAAATGTTTGGTGGTTTCACTTATTCTGGTGAAAATCCATGTGGTCTGAATCCTTACGGCGATTATCCTCTTGAACTTGGTTACGATTTTGATATTGGTAGTCCGAGTTCAAGTTCTTCTTCTAGTTCAGGCAGCTGGAGGAATTTAGGTGGTCCAGTTGAATCTTATTGATTGGAATATCTTTTTCAGTATTGAAAAAGTTGAACATTTACAGATTGTCGCCAAAATACGACAACTCGTAATACTTGATATTATTTGAACATTTGTACTATATTCTCCTTTTCTTTTTCTTTTTTTTTTATTTTTCTTTTGTGTATATCATCTTCGTTTTTTTTTTTTTTTATTACTATTATATTATTTCCGACGCGTCTTAATACTTTCCCCCTTATTCTTTGAAATATGCATCCGAACACCATCACCCCCTATACCTTGCTATTTTTTTTTCATAAAGCATACACGACCTAAATGTGTCCCTTTAGAAAAAAATACGCATTGCACCACAAATATTTTAAGATTTTTTTTTTTTCTAAGTTGATCAATATTTTCCAAAGAATATTTCTCAAAAGTAATGCACCATTTGTCGCGCATTACTTTTATTTTTTATTTTTTATTTTATTTTTCTTTTTAATTTTTTTAAAAGTATTATACCAAAATGTAAATAAGCTTAATTCTTTCTATACCTATAAGATTGTGGCGAGGTTTTCTTTAAAAAAAAAAAAACAAAAAAAAAACAAAAAAAAACCCCCTTAAAATTTTACAAAAACCAAAATGCGGTTCTTAAATTTTCTTTAGAACCCTTTATTGCTTTATTCTAACCTCGCCACTATTCCGACTATGCTATAAGGATTTCCTAATTATTATCTTTTTTTTTTTATTTGGTTCTGGAAACTTGAAAATATTTGGCGGTCATATTTGCCTATTGAAAAAATGGTGTGAACACATACCTACCGGAATAGGCGAATTTGACGTAATTCTTGGAAGGAAAAAAAAAAAAGAGAGGGAAATCCAATAGATATAGATAATTTGTAAATTTTTTTTATTTCTTTTTTATTACCAAAACCTATCAATCAATATTTTGTGTATTCTCTACAAGATCGAATGGATCTTTAGAGGATTTTATTTGGCAAGCCCAAAATTTTTTCCCTGATCCATACTTTTGTAACTTATATACCTAAAAAAAAAAAAAAAAAAAAAATTTTTACCCCTCCGTTACAATATATACTGTATAATTTCTCTAGTTAAATTTCTTGTAAAATATGTAAAAAAAACTAAAATTTTATAACTTTCTAAAAAAATTTTAAAGAAAAAAAATCAACAAAAAAAACTGAATAATGATTTTAAAAATAATTACAAAAAAAA